GATCTTTATCTCTCGTGAGTGTAACATAGGACGATACCTTGACACCGTTAACAAGAAGAGTTCCGGAAGGTGTAAGAGGAGCGTAGAGCCCCGTTTTCCACCTTCGAGTGATCTTGGTAACAACCGCAGAGCCGTCTTCCACCTGCAGCGAATCGCCAACTTGGACAGACTTTGCAGGAAGAAACTTCTCGTTAACGTATACCAAATGATCTCCTGTCACTTCAAGTGGCCCCCAATTGTTGCCTTTCATGTGGATCTTTAGAAACTCTGTCTTCCCGGCTCTGTCGTAGTGAGCAAAGCCATACACTGGTTCATAGGTACTATGAGCTCCATGGACCTTGTCACCAACATTGAGATGCTTCATTGAAACTGTTCCTTTTCCAAGTACCTCGACCGTCGAATCCTCGGAGAAGCAAAAGGAGGGACCGCTAGGGGCAGCAACAGCAGGAGGTTCCTTATCTGGGCAGCCACAGTACTTGGCGCACACGGAGAGAATAGCAATATCTCCAAAAGAGTTCTTGTACACACCATCGCATCCGTCGCCCTCAACTTGAGGCGCATTGACAAGTTCCTCGCAACTGCACAATCCTCCAAAGGTACAAGCTGGGTTGCTACTCAGAGTATTCTCGCAATCAGCAGAAGTAGTTGCAGCAGGAGCCTCCTCAGGCACAACTTCCTCAGCAGCTTCAACGGCGGGTTCATCGGCAACGGTCGGACTTGGAGTGGGGGGTTCAGGCGACACCGTGGGATCCACTTCAGGGCACATCCCCACAACTTGATCTTCTTGATCCACATGAAGAGTCGGGTGTCCCAGTTTGGCGCTCTCGAGAGCAACACTCCGTCCTCTCGTCACAACGAAATTGCGAATCAGAGGGTCCAATGTCTCGATCCCAGGTTTCTCCTCAGCGCAAGAATACTTTTAGGAAAAAAGAAGAAAAATTGATGAGAAGACAGGGTCCTACAAAACCATGCATGCAGGCAGCGCTTCCAGTGGCCATAGGCGAACGTACCATATTGGACAAAAGCGACTGGCATTCCTTGGTAGAGAAGAGGCACTTATCATGGAAGCTCATAGTCACAACCTCCTGGTAGGCTTCCTGAAAAAGTTCTTCCAACGAAACTTCTGCGCAGTCACCACAGTATGCTGCGCAGACATCACTCACAACAATATCACCCATCTCTGTGCTGTACACTCCGCCGCAACCACCACTTTCTGGCAGGTTAACAAATTCCTCGCATTCACAGAGGTTTCCAAATATACAAGCTGGGTTGTCAGCCAGGGTGTCCTTGCAGCTGGTGAAGACCTGTCCCGGTGCTTCTGTAGCAGAAATTGTTGGTGGTATGTCACTGTCCATGGCAGCAGCTGTTGTCACATCACATCCACAATAATTGGCACAGACAGATCGGATCTCGATGTCACCAAAAGCGCTTGCATAGAAGCCATTGCAGCCCGAGCTCTCGGGTGCGTTGACAAAGCTCTCGCAATCGCACAGCCCACCAAAGGTACAAGAGGGGCTCTCTTCGATTGTATCCACGCACCCGGGATCTGCCTGACGTTCCACAGGGAATGCCAGCGACGTTTGAAAGGCCTCCAGATCAATATCAGGAAGCAACGAAGTATCACAGGTAGATTGGATGCACACATCCACTGTTAGGTTAACGTCTTTCGAGGTTACTTGGTTGGGCGTAGCCACGAAAACGAACAAGTATCCCATGACTCCAGTATGGAGATTTGTTGCATTGTAGTCCGTAACAAATCGCACCACACGATCAGCTGGGAAGGTAATGGGTGGATCGTGGTCGTCGACGGACACTGCTGTCAAGAAGCCTTCGTCTGTCTCTGGATTGGTTCCATAGATGGTTTCTCCAGAGCACAAGAGTTCACCGGTTTCACATCTTCCAACCACTGGCCAATGGCAGCCACATGCAAGTGGGCCACGCAACGTAGTAGCTGGACCTCTTCTGGGCCAGAATAGTCGCCTTGGAAGAAGCTGTCCTTGAACATTTCATTGAACGGCTCGATCCGTTCCAAGCGCTGAATACGAGAATCTTCTGGAGCTTGCTGCTCTTGGGGCAAATACTCGTAGCTTGGCACATCATATTCCAAAAACATACCGATAGCTGGGGAGATATCAGCAGTGAGATACGTCACATGGGTCACTGGTTCGTCTTCGGCTTGTAGTTCTCGGTAAGTAACGTTGTAACGCATGCGATAGTCCACAGTAGGTCCTTCCAAGTCCGTACATTGGTGCAACAGTGACTCCTCCTGTGATGTTTCCAGTGTTGGCCAGCTCATCCAGGTAGCTTCCGTCGCTGCTGGTAGGACATCGGCATTCAATACAAGACAACCAATCGTCGACTTCTCGCAAATCGATCAAATGCATGATGGTGAAATCTCCTTCATCTCCTGACATGATAGCATAAGGCTCCTTGAAAGGGGCATCTGGGGCGTCTTGACGCAATCCTTCAGCTCCTTGCCCGAAGACAATGTTTCCAGACAAATGATGGACATACAATTGGTTGACGGGCACTGGGACGATCCCTTCTTCAAACGACCCAGTGACAAACTCAAAGTTCCTTTGCCCCAAAGCCACACGGGTGTCTCGGGGGAATGGGTAGTACATCAAGAATAGTCGGTTTATGACTCCGCCGGGTGTCAAAGTAGCTGGTCCACTCAAACAGGATCTGGTGAAGGTATGCGGTTCGCCCTCCACTGGCTCTGGATCGCTGCATTCCGCTTGCAACCTGTTTGCCTCCAATTGGGTGCTTTCATCAACTACTCCTGATTGCAATGCATTGCAGTCATCCGCTGAAGCTCCAAAGATAACACTAGAGACAGGTGGTAGACGCTCACCTCCACCGCCAGTCCAAAAGGAGGTTACGGGGACTTGTACCTTTTGCGTGCCAGAAGAACAATGATCGCCAACCTGGCAGGCAAAGTACAATACATCTTCGGATTCGTCAGGGATGGTGTATGTAAAAGGGGCCTCTCCAACTTGTGCCAAGAGAGTGGCATCAGTAAAGTTACAATCCATAAAGTCTTGGAGTGAAGCCATTTGGTAGACATTGTGGGCAGCAAAACGAAATTCCAACCGATCGCCAGGAAAGACACCAGTGCCACCTTGGACTGGTTGGTAACAGACCCCTTCAGTCCATCCTCTATCGCCGCCAATGACGATTGTGGCCGACTCGGCACTAGTAACCACATTTTCGACAACAACTTGGGCATGCACGGCAATGGGAGTGGTAAGAAGAAATAGGAGACCGCTGCAAACAGCTACGGTGCTAGTCCAGGACGACCTCAATGCGCCATTGCGAGGATACGTGAACATCATGACCGAAAAAATTCTCTCGCAACCTAACTGGAAAGGAAGGGAAAATATGGGACTTTACACTCAGTTATTGTTGGAGTCAAGGTATTGCAGTGATATGGCGGACAACGTCATCAGCCCTTGTGCATCCCGTAGAATCCGGGCCTTGGGAAAGATAGGAGTTAGCCGAAAGGATGATAGGAGTTAGCCGAACACACCAAAAAGCTGGTAGACTGGTAGACTGGACTTCTGCATCCAACAGTATCGGTACGGTCCTTTGACCGTAAATTCTACTTGATGCCTATGTATTACCCGAGCTCGTGTAGCCTAGCACAATCAGCTATCAGTAGTAGCCGGTCCTACTAGGTGGGGGCAAGGCAATGGATGGGCTCTGTTTTGGCATCCCGGGTTATCCAACCCTGTCAAAACCGGAGGCAAGTTCACCAACCAATTACTACAGTGGCCACGCTACACTGGACTGCAACCTACAGAGCTATGCATACTAGGAGGCACATTCTCAATGCGATTATCTGCACTTAGTAGCTAACCAAAAACCCCTGGACCGCTCTATGCAAGGGGTGCAAATTGAAACGACCGTACTTGGAAAATGTGAGGGCGAGGAGACAAATTGAAACGACCGACCGTACGTACCGTACCGGTAGTGTACTGCTAGTCTTGGTACGTAACTTAAAACTGCGAGCAGTGAGGGGTTATTCGGCACAAAGATCCAGCCACGAATCCATCATCCATGCCTTGTGACGCCATCACGTGCGTTTTCGGATTACAGGTCTTCCACTTCGATCCGATTGATTCCGCGTGGAAGCTTTCTTAGCACTTCTCATTGATCAGCAGGAGTCGAGTCGAGTCGAGTCGAGTCGAGTCGAGTCGAGTCGAGTCGAGTCGAGTCGAGTCGAGTCGAGTCAACAACCACATATGCATACATCGCAACACGATCTCAAGCTACAAGTATGCCATACGAGGTTAGAGCCAGCAGACTGGGTTGGATCAAGTATCTCTAGCTAGTCTGCTATTCTATTGATAAGAACAGTGGACCCTTCCAACTTCCAACGTCCAAATCCGACAGACACCTTGGGATTGGAAAGAATAAAGGACGCGATGGATACCGGTATGCTAATAACAAGATGAGACTTTGGCAGTACCGGTACTTTCTCGATGCGAGGATCTCACCATGGCGCCGCATCCTGGCCGGTGTGGGTGCCTTGGTGCTTCTTGTCATTTCTGGGACATTGTACAACAATAATTCTACCACCACCTCAGCTTCGAGCGGCTCATCTCGGGATCCAAACAGTAGTGGCATCGATCAGGTTCAAGTCAAAAATGAACAGACGGGCACTATCAACGGCAAGAAGCATACCATTCGAATATTGTGCTATGGAGACTCTTTGACGGCAGGTATGGCACCGCCCAGTCGAGAATACTGTCCCTACAGCCAAGCTTTACAGACGACACTGAATGACAATAACAACAACTCTGATTATTTTTTCTACCAAGCGGATCACATTGGACTTCCCGGTTGGACCACCACGCAATTCTTGGCCGCGCTGGATGACCCTCGCAAGGGATTGCGCACAGCCCTACACAGCAGCCAACATGATGTTGACACCAAGCTTGTGATTTTATTGGCAGGGACCAACGACATTCCACTTCTCGTGAGAAGCATGAGCCTCACCAGTCATCGAGAAGCAGACCACAGAGAAGGTCATATTCAAAATGGAGCCTCAGTGCTCAAGAACAATTTGATTCGGTTGCACGACGTTGTTCTCGCCGACCACACAATGCATTCCATTGCCTTGGCAATTCCTCCTTCGGGCCGTCAACTGACTGATCTGTCTGCCGCACGGTTGGTTGACCATGCCAATGAACAACTGCAACAATCCTCCAGAACCACCCCTTACAATGATACCATGACCTTTGTGCCATTTCCCATTTCATACGATGAAGCCAATGAGCATTTGTGGTCTCCGGATGGGCTGCATCTCAACTGTGAAGGATACGAGCTTCTGGGGAAAACATTGGCTCCAATTGTCAGGGAAGTATTGGACAAGGGACGAACCTGAGATTGCATGGGTACTACTTGCGTGATGGTCAGCATAGGTTGGTTTGTAGTTTCTCTTGTTGAGTACAAAAGGGTGCTTACTCTTCCGACGTCCTGAACGTAGCGAAAGTGGCCTTGTCGTGATGGCGCAATGCAACGACATGTATGACATTGTGTGGAAGGTGACGTAGCTTTGCCAATACAGGAATCTCAAGTCAATTGGATTCTATTCACTGTTTCTTGTTTTCGCACTGTTGCTGTACCAGTACTGTAATAATAGCAGATTTGTCCCCTCTGAGTCAAATCGCGCGGGCTCAAAGTCATGGATACTCATGAAAATGCATCTGGGATAAGCATGGTCTGTGACCTTTCAGGTGTAAATCAATATAATTATTGAGCTTTATAAGATCTGTTTTTGCCATACATGTGCGTAGCTGGCTAGGTGGCTGGTCAATGTAGGCATGCATTAGTTGCACGCTCTTCTGTTGTTACGTCATGGTTGAGGAACCTGAAAGGTTGCACTAATGCCTTTTGTTGAAATGACAAAGACCAAATGTGGTCGCTTTTTAACGTGACTTGCACGAGCATAGTTTGCCGCAGTTAGCTGCAAGCAGTAGCTAAAACAAGTTGGCTACCTTGTTCTGGACTCGCTCGATTTGCCCGGCACAATCATTGTAACTCCCACCCAAAGATGATCCAAAGTATTGCACCCGATCGTTGGAAAAGTAGGGGATCAGGGGACAATCAAAATAGTCGCTTTTGTGCCCCCCACTAAACGTATCACACTGCCGAGCTTGGCACGGATAGGACATGATCGTGCGGAATTGTCCGTGAGGATCTCGATACCCATAGCTGGACTTCTTGAGGTCGTCGCACATATCCGCAGTCCCCCGGTCGTGTGAGCATCCAAAATTGTGTCCAATTTCGTGCAGTGGAAGATACCAGACGGAAGTGTATTGTATGGCAACCACGGATAACATATAGCCTGCGTCGATGTGATCGTAGTTGTTGAACGCAATGCCCGTCTCGGGATAGTCAAACGTTTGATCCATCAGCAGCATCACCATGTCAGCCTTGTACTCTAGTCGACGGTCCTGCACAGAGGGTATGCTCTTCTCTTGCAGATCAGTCAAGGCTTGATTAAAGGTGGTCTCTTGATAGACAACTCTTTGGCCGTGGGCAAGGCGCAGCTGTAGGTGGAGGCCGGAATTCTGAAGCACAGCATTACTTTCCTTCAAGAAAAAGTTGATTGCAAGCATCATGTTTTGTCGACTGGAGCTGGATACAGAGCAATTCGCTGGAAGGTGCGACTTTATGCATTCGGCTGAGTGTGTCCATACCACCATGATATCCACAACAGTATCGCCCTTGTCGATGCTGAGAAAGGGGATGAAAGCATTGAAGAGTTGCCTGGCTGGAGAAGTATAGTCTCCAAACGTTGAGGACTGGTCAGGCCTCCATGCAGCTGTCTGATCAGATAATTGTTGTTGTGGGTGTGGATGCAATAATGCCGGGATAGAATATGACGGAGGTATCACAGGGTCTTGAAATGGAGCAATCTCAGTGTCTGGTATCACGGAAACGAGCGAGGCTCCTTCAACGTTTGGTTTCATCTCATACCAAAGTCCATTTTGGTTGTCATGTATCATTCCTGTAATGCGACAAAGATTCAAATTCGGTACTTGGTGCCGATAAAAGCTTGCTCTGGCACCCTTATCCTTGGTGATACCCACAAAATAGTCTTTTGTGGTCCCCTTTCCCTTGTGGATTTCCCATCGTGACCCCCCTTGTTCGAGCTGGATATTGATCGTCGTGAGCATGTTGAAGGATGGGATGGACTGCAACTCTGACAGAATCACTGTTGCTATGGAGTCCACATTGTCATCTTCCAGAGCAACGGTTGTATTAATTCGAATTGTAGCCGTTGCATCACCCCGTAGCATTCGACTCCCAGCTGGATGTATACCAATGCAAAAGCACAATAACACGATTTCGATGAAGCGCCGTGATGGACCCATTGTGGAGAAAATAGAGAGCAAACAAATCCAAGACCTTGGAAGGAGCGATCAATCAAAGAAGACCAATCGACCGTCGACGACTTGAACGCCAATCGTTGCGACACCCAGTAAGTGGAAAGAGTCGAGCAACGGAATCTCTAATGAAACCACACTCCAGTCCACATCCACTGACAACGGTGACTCCACTCCGAATAAGCTGCCACTATTCACTGCACGGGATGTCGGCGTCACAAGATCGCTTTGTCAGCCTGTCACAGTCTCGTTGTTTGGCTCGGCGATCACTCCTTGGTGATTAGAGCATCAACAGTCCTGCAACGCCTTTCCACTTCAATTGGGAAAATGTGAGGCGAATTGAGCGGTCTTGAAACGTGTATCCCATAAATCTGTTATTTAAGTCTTGTTCGCCGAAAACATTGCTTATTCGGGCTGCTAATTCAATAGTAACGGTACCAACCAGCTGGGCTGCTAGCTAGAAAATCTAGGTACCATACGGTGATCGATACCGTACGGGTACCTGCGGTATGATATGCAAAAGAAAGGTACAACTAACTGTACTCTAGTAGTACCGGTACCACCTGATATATAGCTGGCAACAACAACAATACATGTACTCTAGAGTATGCATATCCTTATCCTCCACCCAGTGATGCATGCCTCTTGAACATCAACCACGGAGGGAGAAGAAGCTGCAGGGTTACCTTTTGAAAGGGCAACTTACATCTAGCTAGTTACTGCTGGCATGCCATGCCTGGAACGTCGATTGGTGCCTGTCAACGGTGGTGGGTGTCAGATACCATTATTTAAAATTTTGTGGCTTGCTTGTGTCCAGCTAGCTAGCCGCTGGCACTGGACACGTCCTCAAAAGGAACGCCCAATGTCAGTCATTTAGGCAAGGATTGCGAACTCTGCCAGCTCCACAAATGCCAGAAGAAGCATTAGTCCAGTCTCTAATGTAGACTACTACTCTAGCTAGCTCTCTAGCTAGCAAGCTAGCTAGCTAGTAGTAGTAGTACAGTAGTTTAGAAGAGGAGGAACCATGTTGAACTGTTGTCTTGTTGTTTTGATTGGCCAATATGACCTTCCCTTCACATCATGAGTGCGGTACCAGGTACCATTTATTTTAGCGGAAGACTTGTCGACGTGTCGACGTCCCCTGCCAGTACCGGTATCGGTACGGTGCGGGTCTTTTACATGCAGACATGCAGACGACCAGCTCTTGCCAGTTTAGGATCTGGAAGCTCGGCTCTTCTTCGATTCGATTCGATTCATTCCTTCTTACTCGCCCCCAATCTACCACAACACCACAACAACCAACCAAAAATAATATTGATATTATGTATCGACTTCGCCACTGTACGTGACTGTACTCCATGCCAGAACGTACAATGACCCAATGCCTCCAATTTTATGCATCGTTAAATCTTTCTCCTAACTGTGCACGTCGATTTTACCAGCGTGAACGGTGCCTCGCCAACAACCAGCAATGGCGCACATTTATTTTCTTCTCCTCCGAGTAAAACAGAGAGCCAAAAACTTTACGTACTACTGTAGCAACCGGTAGCTACTCAGTAGTAGCTTACAACAGGATTTCTGCGAGAACAACAACAAAGCCACAGGCGAGAGAGGTCAATAGACAGGCTTGAGCACCCAACTCTCTGAGTGTCAACTACTACACTACTATGGGTCAGTGCCAATGCAGCGTCCCCAGTGTGGAAGAAGAGGAATCAGCGCGCCAATTCCGAGCCCTGTTTCCCCAGAACAATCTGGTGGGTCGATTCGAGATGAAGGACTTTGTGGCATCTCGTGCCGAACTATGGGCCATGTTAAGTGTGAACCTGAATCTGAGTGAAAGCGTCTGTCAAGTTACCGCCACTCGAGTGGCCATGGAGTTGACAAGTGGATTGGAGGGAGACGCGGCGCTCAACGCCGAGATTACCGAAGCGCAGTTTCATGCCTTTCGATGTCGGTATATGCTAGATGGCAAGGGCGCACAAGAATTCTTTCATCGTTGTGTCTTTGCATCGTTTGACGCCGACTGCAGTCACTGTCTGGATGCGGCCGAACTGGATACCTTTTTGGATACGTTTTATGGATCCGGGTCCATTTTCCAAGGAGATGCCAGATTACCACCCAAAGAAGAACTCAAACAGAGAATACTCAGCAATAGCAATGGTGGAGATCAGCTGACCTTTGAGGAAATCAGAGATGTCTTGAGAGGAAATACTACCAAAAAGAACACGACAACCACCACAAACTCTTCTACTCCGTCGACCTCAACAGTGGACCCCAACAATAATAACAACAATAACTCCAAACATCCGACAACACAGTCATTACACGACACCAATATTATCAACGACAAAACTAACAAAGAACCGGAAGAAACACCAGAGACTCCTGGCGACTTGGCACCGCCGTCCAAGGAGATGAGTGCGAAGGATAAGGATGAACCCGAACAGACGCCAGAGGTGCAACCCTTTGAAGCTACGTTCGAGACTACCTTTGAAACCAACTTTGAAACCATGACGACGGATGATAACAACAACAATAAACCTCCATCTCCAACACAGCCACGAAAACCACGACAACGCAAGTCTGTCAAGGGCGACCGTGGCAAGTCCAGGTCGCGATCTCCTTCCGCAAGAACGCCCCGAAGAACACAGAGTGGACGATCCACGTCACCCTCCGCACGAAAACGAACGGGCAACAAATCCAGGTCGCCTTCGGCACGAACGCGACGAACCAGTTCTCGTCCGACTGCTTCTGGCAGTAGTGAGGAGCTTAGCAATAGGAGTGGACACGGCGGGAAATCCAAATCACCGTCATCCTCCAGAGGTCTTGGCAGTAGTGAAGAACAACTCTCCAATAGGAGTGGTCATGGCGGAAAATCCAAATCACCGTCATCCTCCAGAGGTCTTGGCAGTAGCGAAGAACAACTCTCCAATAGGAGCGGCCATGGCGGAAAATCCAAATCACCATCATCCTCCAGAGGTCGAAAATCGGTTGGCGGTAATAGTGAAGAACAACTCTCCAATAAAAGCGGTCATGGCGGAAAATCCAAATCACCTTCGGCCACGGGTCGAAGATCCATGCGCCCCATTCCAACATCCGGCAGTGAAGAACGAAAAGCTGGCCGATCGAGATCGCCGTCGTCGAGGACCCGGAAATCCATCCGGGCGTCCAAGTCGTTTGACGAAAGCCACGTCAGTATGAGCAGTGGAGGTACTCGCCAAGGAAAACCCAAACGTCGACATTCCACCAATCAAGCCAAGAGGAACGCTTCCAAATCACCCAAGCGACCGGCCACGGAAACGACAACGAAAAGCAGCCCGGAACGGCAGTAACGGCTGAGGTGAAAGAAAAAAGAAAGAATAGAAGAGGACCTTTTTGTTTGTTTCAAAGCAGAATCGAATCTTCCGAATCGAATCTACTCTACCCTTGACCAAACATGTTTCTGTCTCGAGCGAGCGGTTTCTTTCTTGAACGAGAGCATGGCTTGAATTTGATTTGATTTGCAGTCAATCAAACAATCACGCCACCGCATCGCAAACTGCCAAAGCAAACGATGCAATTCATTCTACAATACTGTAGCACGCCTCCGCTGGCTTACATACGCTGTGTGTGTGTAGCATGTACTTCCCCCTTCCCCAATTAATAAACTACATCCATCTAGCTAGCTAGCCAGACGACCCAAGTCTGTGAATACGGTATCATTGTTCACTAGTCTAGTAGCTATTCGCAGGTAGCCCCCTGATTGCGTCGTAGAAGGCTGGGACACTTGTAGCAACGGACAGCCTGGCCGCACTTGAAGAACTATGCCATACATGTAGCAGAGCCTCGACTCTCGAAAGGTCAATCATTCTTCTCCGCGGCACCGGTTTTTTAAAATGCCGGAGGCCGTGATGCTGCAAGCACAATTGCCGTGGCTCATCTGTGCTTGTCCATCTCCCACTCACCATTCACTTATTCTCCATGGAGCGAAGACTCAAATCAGAGGTTGCAATAGTTTTGAGTTATTGCTCAGAGTGGGGGGATTGGACTCGACTCTAGAGTTAGGTGCTTGCTGTGGGTGGGGCACATCCATCCTGAATAAAAGCCACACATCCCCATAGCTTCTACTCATCCATCCTTTGAGGACACGGTGAGCTTCCCAACAAGCCTACACCATGAAAATTATAACCATGGTAGTGGTAGGGTTTCCAATGGAACTCCGGTTACTATTCCGTACTGTGCGGTAGGGGTAGACTACTACATGTAGCACCGTACAACTATGGTGGTACTGGCTACCGTGGTATGCATACATATAGTATAAAGTACAGGCACTACGGTACCGGTACTAGCTAGCTCCAATGGCTTCTCCAACGTTATTCAGTCGTTACTATGATGTCATCATAGGTCATTCTCGCTGGGATTTGCCCCACCCAAGGATCTTCAATCTTTCTCAATCCTTCTGCCTCCACCAAGCGAATGCTTGCTTGTGGGCTTGTGGGCACACTGCTGCTCTATTGCATACTGGCAGGGACAGTTCGGCGACGACCGAGGTCACTGACTTTGTCCTTTATTCAGGATTGTTCCATTGAAATATTAGTATATAGCAGCAACCAATGGATGCGGCAAAAGGAGTAACGAACGGCGTCAAGGGCGCCTTCAAGTCGGATGCCAGGAAGGAATCCAACAAGAAGTTCCATGAGTTGGATAAAGACAAAAGCGGGACAGCATGCAAAGATGAGATTGCCGAGTTTGTTGCTTCCAACCACAATTTATGGGCCATGTTAAGTGTTACCCTGGACCGAAGCGAAGAGTCTTGTCAAGACGCCGCAACCCGAGTCGCAATGGAGCTAGCCAGTGGTCTCAAGGGCGATGAAGCCCTCAAGGCAGAGTTGACCAAAGAACAATTTCATAAATTCCGCAAACACTACATGCTGGATCCGGAGGGATCACAAGAGTTCTTTCAAAGGGCCGTATTCGCCAGCTTTGATTTGGACAACAATTCGCTATTGGACGAGGATGAGCTGGACCAACTCCTGGATACCTTTTACAAATCTGGCAGCATCTTCAAGGGCGATGTGCGGCTACCAGAAAAGGAGGCGCTCAAAGAGAGGATTTTGCAAAAGCTCGACACCAATCACGACAAACGACTTTCCTTTGCGCGCATTCGAGGAATCATTAGTGGAACGGCCATTCCCGACTTTGAGTAAGGCATTGGATTGACTTGACTTGACTTGACTCTTTTGGCTTCCGCGTAATATGCTTCTGCGCAGTCAACGGTACCAAATATTCATCTGCCTTCACGCCGTGCTCTACAATGGTACGCATCTGAGAAGAAGCATGAAGCTACTACACCTATATTAGTTTGAAACGTTTTCATTCAGAAATAAATTCTACAGGATCTTGACTTGGATGTTTCTTTCGATATTTTGCTTGTTGTAACCCCGATGGATTCATTATCTGTGTTGGTGCCACCTTTCGATACAGTCCAGTGCGGTACCGTACCGTACGAGCTTTCACGTCTCCTACAAAGCAATAGTGTCCTATACAAGGTTCCCACGGAGGCTGCCAAGCCGGTTACTGACCAAATCAAGGTGGCCGGGCACCTCTAGGGTATCGCTGACCCGCTTGTCATTTCATTTCGATTCTTTGCCCACGCTGTGGTACCTAGCTAGCGCAAGACACCAGGAACCCTGTCACACAGCGTCGAATCCAAGCCAGTGGACTTGAGCAGCAAGACGTCTACCGCGTAGATCTGGCAAATGTCGGCAATCATTTCATCTGTCAAGATGGAAGCATATAGATAGTAGCCATGGGTATAATCATTTGCTCGTGAGGACCTTGCGTGTCGGTTTTTGCTGCCAATGCCCACGAGTGTCTGGAGTGTGGATGAAATTTGTTTCATGCCCATGAGATGAATGGAAATGTCATGTTCCAATGATCGAGCTCGTAGCTCGTACGCTTGTGGCAGCATGTGTTGTTCTATGTAGTTGTACTCGGGTGGTGGTGGCGACGAAAGCTCGTGTGCTGTGTAATGGCTACTAGTGTTGGTTGTGCTTGTGGTGGTGATGGAATCTTTGATGCTGTCCAGCATACACTGGACCAAGGCTCGACTTGCTTCGATTGTCGCATTGGTGGGCTCGTCCTGACGATCATTTAAAGACGGCTCCTCGAAAGTTGCTTCCCGGGCAAGAACATTGTGGCATTTACGGAACAGCTTTACTTTTCCCATGCCCATGTGGCGGATTTGGCCAACGGAGCTTAGGAAACGAATCACAGGATCGCGAACAAAGGAAAAGACCACGGCATCCGGGTTGCTATCTTCAGCAGATTGTCGCTGTTGCCGAATATGGATATCGCGGATGATGCCCATATCCTTGATCATGTTACGATTGTACTTGTTGACCGTGTAGGGAACTTGGACACTCTTGCCAGAAAGGCTACGAAACATGGTTGTTCCCGCGCACTTTCGAATGTGCAAAAAGGTCAACGAGCTTGGATACCGAGAGCTCATTGCATTGTTCTTGTCAATCGTAGTGAAGGTGTCGTTCTTGAACGTCATGTGAATCACGGGGTGCTCTGTCTTGACTTGTTTGGATATCTCGTACTGATCCTTATAAGTGGATCCAACAGAATTGAAGAATCGCTCCGGATAGAACAAGACGCAGGTGGAGGCGTCACTGTCACGGGGAGATTTCTGTTGTCCCGTCTTGTCTATGGAAGGAATTGGAAGCTCGCAAGCAATCGTTTTCTTGAAAGCCTTGCCTTCGGAGATATTAGCCGTACTGGTATGATTCCATGGCGCCCTGGGCCCCAAAAATACGGATCTCAGTGTCCTGCGGCGCAGAAACTCGAGCTTGTGTGTTTGTACGATGACCGTTGTTCCGAAAACGATCACCACACCGACAATGACGAGAAGACCACGTGCAGATCGTGACGATGAGATCATGCTGAGGTTGCTCAAGTTAAGACAAGAAGACAACGATAGTGGTCTGTATGGTTGCTTTACGGAACTTGTGCTCAGCTAGCTACACCGCAGCATTGGCCCAACAAAACATTGTCATGCAAGTGCCGAGGAAGCAGCACCGAGGACTGCGCACCGATCATCGAAACCTCGTTCGAGGTGCGCGATGTTTCTCTGCTTTGAGTACCGAGTCAGAAATAAAGCATTAGTAGGCCGCATCACTGACGTACCATCATTATTGTTTTCGCTGGGGGGGTGACTCATCAATTGACGGATGATCGATGGCAACATGGCAACCTTGATCACCATCAAGGAGTCGAGTCGAGTCCAATAGAAGGACCTGCACTGCTGGTAGAGGCGACGACGATTGACGACGATTAGGCTGGCAGCATAATATTGTCAGACAGTAAAGGCTACGCCCTCGAATGTACACAATGAAGATCTCTACACTTTGCGTTGCATCCCTGTCATTGGTGGCAAGGTACGAAGAATGGGTGCAATGACGATTTCAGTTGTAGTGAAGCCCCATCCATCGTTTGTTCAACTTAACTTATACTTTTCCTTTCCTCGTAGTTCTTCCGCATTCTCAGGTTCCATTACGAAAAATGTGGCAGTTCCTGGGCTTCAAAATGGAATGGACTATTGCAAGCTGGGGACATCTGATTTGGAAGTCTCCAAAGTTTGTATGGGAACAATGACATTTGGACAGCAGAATACTATAGAGGAAGGAGTGGAGCAACTTAACCTTGCGTTTGATAACTATGGAGTCAATTTCATCGACACTGCCGAGCTCTACCCTGTGCCTGGCAAGCCAGAGACCCAGGGAGACACCGATCGGACAGTAGCGGCATTTATGAAGAATCGCAAACGTGACGATGTCATTTTGGCAACCAAGGTGGCAGGCTATAGTGACCGCATGACTTGGATGCCACGAAAGGAGCCTGACCAACCAACCTGTTTGAGCAAGGAGCAAATCTTGTACAGTGTCGACCAATCCTTGAAAAGATTAGAGACGGATCACATTGATCTGCTACAATTGCACTGGCCCGATCGCTACACTGGTGGACTCTTTGGACAACCAGACTTTACCCCAACGCAACTACGAGAGGATACTGTTCCATTTGAAGAAACTCTAGAAGCACTACAGCAGGTGATTGACGAGGGGAAAGTAAGATATGTTGGTGTGAGCAACGAAACTCCCTTTGGTGTTTGTTCCTTGGTAGAACTTGCCAAGAACAACCCGGACAAATACCCCAAAATCGTTTCCACACAAAACTCCTATTCGTTGGTGGTGCGCAAAGACTTTGAAGCTGGGCTGGCGGAGGCTTGTTATCATCATCAGGTTGGCCTGTTGCCGTATAGCCCCCTGGCTGGTGGTTCCTTGACTGGGAAATACAATGACAAGGACTCTCTTCCTGAAACCTGCCGCTACAAAATGTTTCCGGGCTTTATGGATCGCTACTATGGCAGTCAAAACGAAGCTGCCGTGAATGCATACGGCAAGATTGCCAAGGATAAGGGCATGACACCAGCACAATTGGCCTTAGCTTGGTGTTTTCATCGAGAACACGTGGCTTCTACTATCATTGGTGCGACTGCGATCCCTCAATTAAAGGAAGATATTGAAGCCTACGATATCAAGCTGGACGAAGAAACCTTGTCTGAAATCACCAAAGTATACAAACAATACACAGATCCTACAAAGTTCGCATAGGTCGATTGAAACTCACTTTGTTTCCAGCAGTGAAACTTTGTGCGCAAAACTAGCCAAAGCAGACTACCTTGAGAATAGAAGATGCAGGGCCCAGGAGGGCTCAAGCTCGCAGCTCATTTCTTCTCTTCGTGCTACAGTAGCTACTAGCAGACAAATCAAATCGTTTATGAAAGACTTCGGTCCCTCGTCACATTTTTTTAAGTAAAAGGAGTGCTTTTACACTCTGGCCAAAGTTGTGATGCCAAACATAACCTCTGCCAGACGCAGAAGCGACGGTGTTGTTGTTCTTTCTTCAAGCCAGGTAGATGCTTCAATACGTACTTTGGGCTACTAGCTAGCTAGTACATGTAGCTATCTAGCTAGCTAGCTAGTCCAGCCCTTTCAGTTTTTGCCATCTGGCTTCCGATTTCAGAAGATGGTTAAGCGGACTTCGCTTTCTTTGTTGCATGACATCACCAGAGTCAGAAAAGTGTGAAGGTATTTTATTTCCTGACGTACAAAGCATTGTTTAACAACTTGCTTTAGTTCTCATCACAAGTGATATTCTGCGCGTCGACCAGACATTCTTTTCTTCTTTCGGGATATCTTTTGTGACTTCGTGAGTACTCCTGGTGAGGATCTTGGAATGTGATTGCCTAAAGTATACTTTTAGAGCTCTTGTAGTAAACGAAGCCTCCAATTGTAGGACATCCACCCCGAAAATCATTTCGTTGGCAGCAGCAGCGGTATGGTTTATCGCTATATATTGGTTACCTTTGTTGATGAGGCCCGGGTTACCGGCTTGTCCAGTCAATGGAAACTTTCTGTTGGCATCTCATTTTTGTGTTACGATAACAATGTCATTGTCACACAAACACTCACAAACGCACCTGAAAAGCGGCAAAAACCTTGGTGACAGCCAAGCCCCAAGCTTCAAAAGAGAAGGGCGACGAGAAGTGATGATGAGAGCCTGACACCAAATTTCACAGTTTCCTGACCGACCAGAGCTCTCAGCTGGTCTCTTTGGATGCTAGCAAACTTTGACCACACAGATTCTTGAATCATAATCCAAGCACGCAAAAGGAAACAAACCCGCCACAGCAATCCAGCTTCCTTCTAATCACACTCCGCAATGGCCGTCTCCAACTCAATTGCGAGATATAACCTTCAGCATGCAGCGCACCTAGCCAATATTGGAGCCCACTATTACGCCACAAGGAACTATCAATCGTCCTATGGTGCCTACACAAGGGCTCTCGAAGTACTACAGCGTATTGCTCACGACGACAGCGTGAACTTTGAACCTGAGAATGACAGAGACGACGCTGAAGCGAGAATACCTGTTGCATATCCCTTTGGCTTGATGGATGAAGAGGACGAGGACGACGAACGGACGAAGAAGATCAAGGCCGAAGATGAGGACAAGTCGTTTTTCTTTGTGTTTGCGAAGCCCTTTGTGGTTGACGTCGAGACATTGGATATGTCCAACACCCCTATCTACATTGCGGTTGTCATTTTTGGCATGTCCCTGCTCTTGATGCGCAAAGCCCAAACAGAGCCTGACAAAAGGTCTCTGCACAAGGCACTCAAGCTCTTCGAAATGGCTGCGACTCTACTACAAAGCGCTCCAGATCATGGAATCTATTCGAACGTTCAACTCGCTATACTGAACAACAAGACATACATTTGCTATTGCCTACACCTATTCGAAGACGCTCATGGAGCGTTGGAGGAGATTTCCGAGCTCCTCCCTAATGTCTGCAATGACGATGTCGCCGCGGATACTTTCGACGAGGACGAGTTGAACAACATGGTCCTCAACAGCCTCCTTACGTCCGACCCTACCCGCTTGGCCCCTGCTGCCTAAGTGTGCGTACGTATGTTTCCAGTCAGGTCTGATATCCTCTTTTCTTGTCTTCATACTGCTTTTGCTGTACATGTATCCAAAGTCTGCATGTTGCATGTACATAGTTTAATACTGCATTATTTAATATATACAACCTCCCTGGCAGGAGCCTCTTCGTGCCTCTTTGCCGTTTGACAAGATCTCCTCAATGCCAAGGCCGGTATGATTAGTTGCTAGTTACTAGCTAGTACCGTACTGTACGCCTGTACTGGTAGTCGAGGGGAGCAACAGTTTTGGTGGTTGCGTTGCATCGCTCCATCACCCTGGCATGCTGGACATTTTTGGGTACGACTGTACCGGTACCAGTACCGTATGATACGGTATTACATACATGTAGTAGCCGCGAGCTCTCTGCTGCTAATAGCTATCATAGATCATAGTTCATCATGTTTATAAAACCCATACTTTGTGTACGTTGACGCACAAGACGGATCACTTTGTGCACGACTGACGCAAGAAACCCCCACTTTTTTGACGCCTGATGCATTTAACCCTCAATTCTTTGCACGACTGAGGCACAAACTCACCACTTTTTTGCACGACTGACTTAGAAATACTCAACTTTTTGCACGACTGGAGCAAAAAGTCCACAACAATTTGCACGACTGACTTAGAAATGCTCAACTTTTTGCACGACTGGAGCAAAAAGTCCACAACAATTTGCAGGACTGACTTGAAACGCTCAACTTTTTGCACGACTGGAGCAAGAAGTCCACAA